GGACAGTAAATAATGAAGACCGTAGAAAAATTGATGCTTTTGAGTTATGGTGTTTGAGGAGAATATTGAAAGTGCCATGGGCTGCCCATAGAACCAACAGATCTGTGTTGGAAGAAGTGCAGTCAGAGTGCTCCTTGGAGGCCAAGATAGCCAAACTTCGTCTTTCATACTTCGAACATATTGGCAGGAGGGACCAGTCGCTGGAGAAGGATATCATGTTTGGTAGGGCGGAGGGTCAGAGAAAAAGAGGAAGACACCCAGCGAGATGGAATGGCCAAGTGGGCACATCAATGGGCTCAAGCGTGGCAACAATAGTGAGATTGGCCCAGGATCGGGCAGTTTCATTCTTCTGTGCATAAGGTCGCTATGAGTTGGCACCGTCTCGATGGCACCTAACAACAACAACAAATGGAAAATACTGGGAAACAAACTGACAAAATAATTGAAAAATGGAACCATATACAATCAGCAATTAGAGTGTCAGAAGATAAACATTAAGATTTCAGAACTAGATAAAACACTGAAAGGGCATAGAAATAGAATTGAATCAATGGAAACCCAAATGACTGAAGTTGAAGAAAAATCTCTCAATATTTATATACTAGAGGAACAATCAGAAACAATCTGAAGAAAGCCTAAGATTTATGTGGGTCACTATCAAAAGGAGTAACTTATGTATGATAGGAATTCCAGAACAGGAAGAGACAGAAAAAAACTATAGAGAATATTGTCCAAGAGTTGTTTGAAGACTACTTCCCTTCCCTTACATGAAAGACAAGAAGAAGCTGAATGAGCAACACATCTTTTGCTAGATCCAAAAGAAAAACACCAAGACATAATCAAACTTTACAAAATCAAAAAGAAGGAAAGAATCCTGAAAGCAGCTTAGGAAAAATGAAACGTTACATACAAAGGAGAACTAATTAAGACTAAATTCTGATATCTCTGCAAAAATCATGCAGGCAAGAAGACAATGAAATGACATCTATAAAAACTTAGAAAAAAACACAAAAGCTGCCAACCAAGAATCATATATCTCACAAAACTACCCATCAAATATGATGGCAAAATTAGGTCATTTTCAGACAAAGAGAAATTAAAAGAATTTTAAAAACCAGACCAACCTTACAAAAAACACTAAAGAAAGTTCTTTGGACAAAGAACCAACAGCAGAAGATAACCACCTGACACTATTATATATAACACTGTATCACCTAGCCTCAACCCAGATATGCTGTTGTTGTTCTGACTCACAGCAACCATGTATAGGGCTTCCAAGGAGCAGCTGGTGAGCTTGAACTGCCGAACTTGCAGTCCAGCACATTAACATTAGGACTCCATACAAGTATGCAAAGTAAAACAAACCTATAAGACTAATAATAAAGAACCAGAAACTCAGCTGTAACAACAAAAAGCCAAGTAAAAAGAGGGAATAATGCAGCGACAGAACTTTCAAATAAAGAGAAAATCAGATAGATTTCAAGGGAAAAAATTAAATAAAAAGAAACCTAACTGTAACCCTAATAACTAGACCAAGTCTTACTTCTACCCCTAACACCAACCTTTACCTTTAACACTAACCCTAGTGCTAACCATAACCCTAACAATAAACAAGTTCTAGGCACAGCCTAGATTTAGTCATAGTCCCAACCACTCACACCAAAAAGAGATAATATAATTTTTCTATGAACTTTTCCAAGTCCCCTCATATAATAAACTATTATGCTAAAATAATAATAAAATACTCTATAATCCATATTGATATAGAAAGATGACCAAAGTATATTGTTCAATATGGAAAATGTGTTTAAAAATTCCACAAAAAAACTGTAATTTGATTAAGTCTCTAGATCCAACTGGATCTAGAGGACAATAAAGAGGACAAAAGAACATGTTAAATATCACTATCTAAGACACAACAAGCAAAATTCTGCATCATTTAAAAAATGGCAATCCTTTTTTTCCTACAATTAAATTGTAAGCGGGGAGGGGAATAGAAGGAAACAGAGATGAAGGAGTACCCAAAATTAGCACTATCTGGTTGTGCCACAGGTAAGCACTGGGCTGCTACCTGCAATACCAGTGATTTGAAACCCACCAGCTACTCCATGTAAAAAGATGAAAACTGTTCCTGTAACAATTTACACTGTTAGAAACCCAAAGGAACAATTCTACTTTGTCTATGATTCAGAATTCCCTTGGTAGCAATAGGTTTTTGGTTTAAGTGACATTTTCATTTAATCGCAAAACATAAATTTAATTTGGATCTTGATTCATAATAAAAACAAAATTATGAAATTTAGGAGACAAGTGAATAATAAAGCACTCCCTGGATGGATATTTGATATAAGAAATTTGGTTTTCAGATAGTTTTTAAAGAGTCCTATCTTTCAGAGGTACATACTGTAATATGTGTAGGCACTGATAGGATAAGCGTTGAATTGTCAATGGTTCAAACCCATCAGTAGCTCCTTGGAAACCCTATACAGGATAACTATGAGTCAGAATCGACTCAATGGCACTTAACAACAACAACACTGAAATAGGTATAGTATATATGAGATGCAGACTGAAAAAAATATCAAGTATTTGCTTCAGAATAATATGAGATACAGGGAGTATGAGTGAAGATATAGATGAACAACAATGGCCATGAGTTGATAAGTACTGGAGAGGGGTAAATGTAACATGTGGGCTCATTATACTGTTCCATCTACCTTAAATAGGATTCAAAGTTTTCCACTTAATTAAAAAATATTTATGCATATATATATAAATATGCACAGAAAAAGCTCTAGAAGGATAGTCACCAAATGACAAACAGTTTTACATGGTTTAAAGTGATTTTTATTTAATATTTGTCTTTATTCACCTATTTTCCTTTTTTTCCCTCTTCTACAATGAATAAGTTTTAATTATATATTTGAAATAAAGGTAAAAAATACAATTTTTTTTTTTTCCGAGACACCCTCAGGAATCACACTTCAAGTAGTAAACTTGAGACTTCTGATTCTTTGTACGTGATCTTTACCTGCAGAGTACAGTTCCTAGAATAATGGGAGCTGAAAACTAATGATTTTCGCTTAAGAGGAAAAAAATCTTTTAAATAGTTCAGCCGACATCTTTCTAAATTTAAACTAGAGGATTTTATAACAGGTTTAAACAAAGGAGCTAATTATATCCTACAAACCAGTATCCCCTAGTTATTTGCATAAGTCTACAATTCACAATATGTTAACAGTAATTAATGTAAAACATTCCTATCCCAACTTTGTAATAAGTTTGTTGCTCTGTGATTCTTTCCCACTTCCCTTTGCTCTATTAGTATTTTCAAGCATGCATCATTTAAAAAAAAAAAAAAAGACATCTTTGTCTTACCAGTGGCAAAGAATGTCGCCCACACTCAATTGTGACGAGTTTGTGGCACTTCTTATGAACTAGCAGCTTGCAGTTGATGCACTTATATCCTTGGCGTCCAAGTCCCCAGATTCGGTCTGTGCAGATGGCACAGTGAGCTCGCTGGAAAGAGTCATTCAACAATATGTTATTAACAAAAACACTAAACCTTTCCTACTGCTTACTCATAAAATAGTGAAAATAAGTGGCTATCTTCTCCAACCTAATTCCCCATCTTCTCCAACCTAATTCCCCTCATCAAGGTGTCAAGAAAATAAAATCTTCCCCATACAAAACTGTTCAAAGCTACTGAAGATCGGAAAAAGAAACAGAAAAGAGGGCTTGTATTAAAGAGACAAGTAAAATTTGAAATCATGTTACTTTCTGTCATATGTGCAAGATTTTTCTGTCTTCAGATAATTAAAAGTAATGAAAGCAGGAAAAAGTGAATTAAACTGGAAAAACATGGCAGAGACAGCAGTGCAAGGATGATGCCCAAACATAAAACCTTCCACGCTGATCATAGGTCAAACCAAAGCCCTGGTCTTAAAGAACAACATCTAAAGAGTCTTTTCATTTCACAGCCATTTTAATGTCAGTGCTTCATTGAAGAAAAGAGCTTAGCATCCATTTATGTTAATGAATTTAGAAAAATGGCATTAGTTTTAGGATGAAAATAAAACTAATTATATAAATTTTTAGTTATCAAAAATGGTTAAAATCATGGGTTTCTGAACACAGAAATGCCTGTGCTCAAGCCTTGGCTATATCACTGCCTAGTTGTGTCATTTAGGGCAAGTTACTTCACTGTCTGCACCTCAGTTTTCTCATCACTAAAATGGAAATATAAATAATCTATCCTACAAGGTTGGTGGGTCGATTAAATGAATCGATATATGTAAAGACTTTGGAAAAGTGTTTAGTACACTGTAAAAGCTAAATAAATGCACAGTAAAATTATTATCTAAATAATGAAAATGAAAATTTTAATAGTAAGTGGTTTGCAAAATAAATCTTAATTTCTGAGTACCTGTAATTTTATCTACATATAAAACAGAAAACAGACTTTCTTATAGCTAAGTTGACCACATAATTACAGTTAAACATGTGAGGGCTAGAACTTGATGACACTGCTGTTTTTCCAGGTCTCACAAGTTTTCCACTTCTTACAGAAAAGTCTTACCACTTTTCTATCTCTGTTTTAATGGAAAATAATCATTTTCCTTCTCTAACAGGGTTCTGCCTTACACAGGTTCCAGCTCTCAGAGGTTTCACTGTAATTCAATATGAAACATATTCTCAGAGTGAAACAAGATGCCATGAAAAACTGCCTCTGGACAATAGTAGTATTGCTCCAAGCACACACTACTCATTTCTTTAAAAGGGAGTAAAAATATTACCTTTCTTTTATATTGGAAATGAAAAGAATAGACTCTCAAATTCTCAACATTCAAAAAGTAAATGTACCCTGTTGAAACGCTTGGCTTGAAAAGTGTGGCCATTTGCACAATAAAGTTTTCTCCAGCGCCGCGCACCTCGGCGATAGATGGATTCTGAAGAAAGATTTAAAATTTTAGATTAAAAAAAAAAAAAGGAATCCTGTGAACAGAAGTAACTTTACAACTAAGTCTATGTATGATTCTTTTCATAATATCCACTACAAGGGGGGGAAAATTATTAAAAACCTGAAACTAAAAGAAACAACAATTAAACCCTGGGAGTATAAATATTCGTACAACTATTATTGCTACACTTTCCCAACTTTTCTCTTTTTAAATATGATTTTTAGTGCACTTTATACTTTAGAGCAGTTTTAGGATTACAGGAAAACTGTGCAGCAAGTACAGAGTTCTCTCTTACACACAACTTCTCCTCTTACTAACAACACGCACTATTGTTGCTGTGAAGTCAGTTCCAACTCTTAGCAACCCTGTCTAAGGGTTCTGAGGGAACAGTTAGTGAAAGCTGGAACTGCTGACCGGCTAACAGTCCAGTGCTTATCCTACAGCACCACACTAACAGTTCAACAACATGCATTAGCGTGGAATATTTGTTAAAATTGATAAACCAGTATTGATAAATTATTATTAAATAAAACCACAGTTTACATTAGGATTCACTCTGTTGTACAATTCTGAGTTTTAACAAATGAATAATCCATGTAGCTAACTCAGAAATCCTATGAAGGGTTGCAATGAGTCTGAACTGACTCCACAGCACACCATTACCACCTTATAGTATTATGCAGAAGAGTTTCACTGCCCTTAAAATGCCCTGTGCTTTACCTATTCTATTAATCACTTACCACCGCGCAGTGGTTACGAATCGGGCTGCGAACCACAAGGTCAGCAATTTGAAACTACCAGCTGTTCCACGGGAGAAAGATGAGGCTTTCTGCTCCCATAAAGATTTACAGCCTCAGAAACCCTGTACAGGGTCGCTATGAGTCGGAACCGACTCCACGGCACATAACCACCACCACCCTTCAAATCACTGATCTTTTTACTGTCTATATCATTTTGGAATCCTATACTATAAATGGAGTCCTGGTGTGGCACTGTGAGTTAATACGCTGAACTGCTAAGTTGGTTTGAACCACAAGATCAGCAGTTCAAGCCTACCAGCTGCTCTTCGGAAAAACCTATTCAGGGTCGTTGTGCATTGGATCCAACTCCACAGCATTTAACAGCAACAATACTGTAAATATGCATTTAAGTTCGTTCCATTATGTCTTTCTGCATCTGTATATATCATTTTGTCACACATAATAGTGCGCTGTATGGACGTACGTTTTTCTTTATCCATTTATCTACTTACTTTTATTTCGTCCAATTTTTAACAATTTTAAGTAAAGGTGCTATAAACATCCCCCTTCCAACTTTTTATTTTGAAAATTAAGCCCAAAGAAGAGTCTAAAGGATACATTATCTGCATATTTGTTCTTCACCTAGCTTAACAATTTTAAGAGTTGTACCACATTTGCTTTCTTCTCTGTATCCATACATTTTTTCCCATGAATCATTTGAAAGCAAGCTGTAGGCACCATAATGTCTGCATCCTTAAATACCTTAAAGTCCACTTCCTGAAACTTAGGATTTTCGCCTCACACCCAACCACAATACCATTACCATGTCTTAGGAAAATAACATTAATTCAATACCTGCTACTATATAGTGCAGAAGCAAATTTATCTTTAGTGTCCACCAAATACCTTTCATTAGATAATGTTGCCTTTTTCTTACTGTGTTACATCATGAGGAATGTACCTGTCAGATTATTGACTTCCACTATTGGTGTTTGAGCACCTGAAGGTAGGGATTGCTAGCTCTCTTCATTGTAAAGGTGCATTTCCTTTTTTGTAAGTAATCTATAAGTAATATTTGGTGATGACAAGAATATTCTCACTCCTTTTGCCCAGAGAAATAGGCCTTGATTGCATGGCTAATGAATGTCAGACTGAAGAAGCCGATTTTTGTTGTTACATGCCATAGAGTCAGTACCGACCCATAGCGACCTTATGCACAGCAGAACGAAACACTGCCCGATCCTGGGACAACCTCACTACTGTTGCCACGCTTGAGTCCATCTCGCTGGGGGTCTTCTTATTTTTCTCTGAGCCTCCACCTTACCAAACATGATACCTTCTCCAGTGACTGGTCCCTCCTGACAATATGTCCGAAGTATGAGAGATGAAGTTTGGCCATCTTGGCCTCCAAGGAGCACTCTGGCTGCACT